TAAAACGGGGGGAGCAAGCGAAAAGAAGGGGGGGGGGGGAGAAGGAGTTGGGGGGGAAAAAGCAAAATATTAGAATGGATCCTTCTCTAACAGCTATCTCTCCCCACCCAAAATACACATCCTTACAAACACTTTTAAGCAGAATAGACACATCACAGATGTTACACAGAGGATCAGGTGACAAGCCTGAGGCAAAAGTTTACAAACTGGACTACTGACAGGTAACAATAAAGCAGATATTTAAGCCCTGCTCTACTACCAGAGAAAATTAAATAAATTTATTTTATTACCATTAATAAGTAGCCACTAGCTACTCTGATAACACTGACATCAGAAAATGACTTTAGGATGTCATCCAAGGTGGTCGTAGTAAAGGAAAGCACCTTCTGAGTAGAATTTTGTGCAACACTTTGATGAACAACCTATGAAAAGAAAAATAAAACTTGGTATGACTAAAGAAAAAATTCATTACCATCTTCTACAGCGCACATCTGAAATCAACTGCTTTTGCCTTAACGTTCCCGTGAAAGCCCACACCCTACACAGAGATTATGCTGATGCTACACAAATGTGTTTGGTAATTATTTCTTGCAAGCTACTGATTATCAGACAAGAATTTGCATCCTTCAGGAAAGGCTACTGCATTCCCAGCCCATTCCAAACATTTAACTTGAATCCTCTTCCCGTAACTCCACCATAGATTTGCTGCAGTACGAGTTTTGCCTTTAACTCAAGGCCAGTGATCTCTTCGGGGTGCTCCTCTTTCCCGCCTGCCTGGCTGTTCGCAGAGGTCAGAAGCAGCGCAGCAGAGGTCAGAGCTTGGGACACAGGGGCCAGGCACTGTCACATAGCCTCCCCGCCCAGGCTGCGCTGGGAGAGCAGCCCATGGCTGGCTAATGTTTTCCAGACACCTTTAGAATAACCACACCAACCAAAAGCTTTTAAATTCCAGCTAGCTCTTCGGTTCCTTCTCGGCCCCAGCAAAGCAAAAATGTCCCAGACAGCAAAGAGCAAAACCTTCATGGCTTCTCATACGTGAATAACCAAGCAGCTTCTTAATTGGAAAAAAAAAAAAAAATCAGCTTAAAAACTGGGAGGCAATGACTCAGTTCTGGTTTAAGCATCTTCCTTGAAGACATACTGTAAAAAGCCGTGACAGAAGGCAGTGGATCTCAGCAGGACTTTATAGATTGATATCTAGGTTATTTTCATTTTACCTCAACATACATCCTCTGCCAGGCTTCCAGAATTGCTGCTGCCTTATCCTCGTTCCAGTTGATATGTGAAACATATTCATATCCCTTGAAGTGCTCATACATTTGCTTAGGAGTCATTAACTGAAACATGGTTTGCAAAGCCTGGGCACTGTGACGTGGAGAGAAGGGAGAGGAGGAAGAGGCATAAAATGAGCATTTTCAGGAAATTATTTTCATGGCATCAAGTCCCAAATGAGACCCTAACGGGAGCTTGCAAGAGTTCTTGATTTTATAGGGCACATGTTCGTATTAAAATTGAAGAGAGTATAATTATTCTACAGTGTATCTGGTGCAGCTGTACTGGTCTATGCAGTATTGAGGCTAAATCTGGTTTCACTGAAGTTAATGAGAGTTTTGCCATTATTTTCAATAGGATCAGTTTCAGGAACAAAGAATATAACCCTACAAATCAGTTATAAAGATCATGATTGATAGACAGATTACTGTGAGGGTGCCACAGGAACAGTTATTTCTACGAGATCTTGTAAATGCTGTTGGCAATTTGTCATTTGAAGACCTTGGTCTTTTTCATCCCTTGGAGAGAAATGCCAGATTAAACTCCCGGTGCCTGACAAGCTGCGAGGAATACACAATGGCAATAACGATCCATCCTGAATTTCCACAGTATGCAACTGTATCCAACAATTTTAGAAGCTTAAAGAACTATTTTATTTTTCACTAAAAATATATTCTTTGGCTACTTGTTGAAAGACTTATCAGTGTTTAGTGTGAACGTAAAAAACGTCAAAATTCATAGTAAAAGTTCTAGTAAAAGTTCTCGGTATTAAATATGGAAGAATTATGCTTCACTTAGTTCAGTATAGACTACATTTTTCAGAACAGTTCTATTTCTAGGTTTTTCCCCCACTGAAGTCCAGTGTTCCAAGAATTCTTCAAGAAGTCTGAAACAAAGGAGTTTGTTTTATCACTCAAAACTGTATTCAAGATGTAGGGACACAGAAATAGACTCTTCTCTATATTGATCCTGAACAAAAAGTTCAGTGTAGATTTTGGAATTCTGAGAGAAGTCAAATGAATGAGCACATTATCTAAATTTTTTTTCTCCCTTTTTCCTTTGATCGTATTTCAAAACATGATCAAAGGTGTGCAGTGCTTTAAACACTGTTCAGTGCTTTACATACACATTCTAAACAACAAAGTTGCCAGGAAAAGCTTGCTTTCTGAGCAACGTACACTATCATTCTGAGGTTAGAAGCAGGAAGCAATGATGCCTCCTTAAATTTAAACAACTGCCTAATCACTCTTTTAAATTCTCTTTTCTTGAGGCATGTCCTCCTAAACTGGGATTCATAATACACATGAAGGGCAGCAGATTTTGCATGATCCTCCCCCTGTTCCCCAAAAAACAAACTCTAACAAAGAAAAACTTTGAAGTTTTCTTTAAACATTTGTTTACCTGACAAGTTTACCAGAACTGTTCTTGACTGTACCACCTATAATCAACTCCTCCTGCCAATGCATGTATTTTCTTGACAGTCCATAGCATCCACCACTCAAAACAAGGGCTACATCAAGAGGCTAGAAAAAGTTATAAAGAAGCAATTAATAAGTTTCATAACTTTAGACAAACTCACACCCTAATTCAACACCCAGTGTACTAGAATAACGGATATTAAAGACAATCTAGGAGGTCTACAAAGAGAAATGTGTTCAACAAATCAAGTTGAACAAATGAGCCAGATACTTGTTGACCAGATGGCAATTTCTCCAAAGCCTGATGTGATTGATAAAGGGATATATAAAATTGGGGCCCATGATTTCAAATTCTTCACAAAAATCAACAAAACTGGCGCTACTGGAAGGAAGGCTTTGCTGCGTGGTGTGAGTGTCCAGCAGCAGCTGTATTCCAGCAGTGGCTGTGTCTGTCTGAAGCATCAGGTTTGCTGAAATGCCGCATCACTGCATTGCCACAGCCAGCCAGTAGCTGCAACTGTACTCTCACTCTAAATATGTGGGATTAAGCATGGCATCACAGAATGAGGGGAAGTTCGTGACTGTGGGCTAACAGCATACAGCAAATAACAGGAACAGAAAAATGACATCACTCAAGAATTAATTATTAATTATACAAACTAATTATTGCTTGGAAGAAAATGGTACCACCTTCTCTCCTCTCTGGCCTCCCCCCCAACCCCGGCCTCCCTTGAAAAGATATGCACAAGGACAAGCAAACCTACTTTGGTGGAATTTTTATTGGGAGCTGTGATTGGGCAATCAGGATCAGCAGGATTCAGGCAGGGTCGATCCATATAACCATGACCAACCTCCGCTTTATTCAGCATTTCTTCCCAGCTCTCCACTTGGTAGTTTATTTTCTTTAACTCTTCCAAGAATTCTAAGGGGTCAAAGTTGATCCACTGCAAAGGAGGCTTCCCTCTGCAAGAGAAATCAGCAGAAAATGATACACACAAAAAAGACAAAAGAAGTACTGAAGCAAACATACTTTTAAAATTCGTATTTGCACAAATAATTGAGTTATTTTCTGTTACAAGTTAAAACCTTTTCTGGTAAGGTTGTTTCATAAAATGTAAGGCACATTTTAATTAGATTTGTTTATGTACTTTTCTTGCAGCCCAGTTGTAATTTTAACAAAAATACTCAGTTCTTACAAAGTTATTGTATAAAACAGAATAGTCACAGGTTAAAAATACGTCAATTTACAAGCAAAGCAAAACAAATCATCAAGCACCTGAATAACAAAAAAGCAGCCAACTGCTGCTTCAAAGAATTAGGGGGGGAGGGGAGAGGGAAAGAAGAGAGAGGGCTGAGGAAAGAGAAAGCCTTTCTCATAGTATCAGATTACTTCTTGCTAGTCTAATAATCATCTTGCAAATGTAATCCATCAATATAGCTGATCTTTGTTTATCTATAACAATACTGCGTTCCTTCAAATGCCCTGGCAGCTTGACTATCAACCATCAAGCTTTCCTGCTACCATGGCTGTCACCGCTATCACCGTCACGTCTCCCACCCCCCACTTCTGAATTTGTGATGTTGACAGACTAGAAAAGCTTTTGGCTGCCTTATTCTGTGGTTCAAACCACACTGTATCTGCTTAACCAGGCTTAAGTCATTATTCCGAATCTCCCAACCAGAAAACACAAACCCCCTTATTTCCCCATCTAAAACTGTACGCTAAAGGTTAGGAGATGGCCATTGCAAATTGTTTTTACAGAGACATGCAAACCAGGACAGAAACAATAACTCAAATGCTAACTCTTGCATAATTAACAGAAAATGCCTGCACAGATTAACAATTAACTCTTTAAAGGATTCAGGGCATATAATATCACACTTGTAAATTGTGAGAAACCACCCATAAAAGATACTATATGGTTTCTTTAACGATTTCATAAGCAAAGGATTTGTTCTTTATTCCTCAGGAAGACTTGAGATTTAACCCATGACATTTTCTTAGGAATAAAGTTCCCAGCCAATCAATGTTTTTGTATTTTATGGAAAAACAAACAAACCCACTAAAAAAAGTTTATTTCAGGGGCAAAAAAAGGCATAAAATTCTTAAAGCTTGAATTCAGAACTTACATTTTATTTTGCATGCTAGCAGAACGGGAAAAATAACATAGGATTTAAATCAATGCCTACAAATCATCTCTTAGAAACAGGAGAATCTTTGTTCAATGGAAAAAAAATCCCTGCATATTTACTGTAGAGACACTACACTTTATCTTTTATTTTTCTGTTAAACCAGAATCTGAACAAACAGTGGGAATGCAACTGAAAAATCATACACACTTATACAATTAAAATCAGTCAGACCAGAAAGTTATAAAAAAACATGCTTACAACAGATAGGCAGTTCCTGACTGTAGCTTTGCTCCCTCCCAGAAGCAGTCCAAAGGAGTGATAATTAAGCAAGGATAAAGATATTCTATAATCTGTCAAAATCAGAACAGGGAGAAACACGGTTATACCAGAATATAATCAAAGCAGCACAAGCTGAATCATGAGAATACACAAATCTTATAACTAAATGCCTGCTACACATACCTGGTCCATGTAACCTGCTTCTGTGATGAGTTCTCCTGATTTATAACACAAATGTTCCAATTTCCACTGTCTAAGAAATATAAAGAACAATTTTTTTTGCACAATTACTGAAAAGTTATTTTTAAAATGTAACAGACATTTAAAATTGCAACTCGTATTGGCCTCAAGCAGCAAGTCATTGAGAAAGGCAAATATTATTCAGCAGATATACTACACCTCACAAAAAAAGCAAAGGCCTTTCTTTTTGTAGTTACAAACGAGGCATTTGTTTCAGTTATTCTCACATTCTCTGTAAAACTCATTAAAAATAATGGAGCTGCTTTTGGATGAACAGGCTAGTCAACACATGTTAAAGGGACAGAAATCCATCTTTGTATAAATGAGACCGCTTGTGACTTAAGATATCACTCAGTGACACAAGTGAGAGAGAAGTGAGCTCCAGCTCAGAGGACTAGAATATTCCCAGCTGACCAACACATGCAGGAGAAAAGAAAATTAGGATTTCTGCCTTCCTTTTTCAGCTATATTACAACTTCCACGACTTCTAATGCTTTAGACAAAGCAGGAGCTGGGTAGAAGATAATTGGAGCCTCAGCATTAGTTCACTGAGGCATCAGTTGAATGTGCTGAAAAGATGTGCTGAAAGACACAGGGCTTCATGCCTCGCAGGCACCACCCCTAGGCACATCATCATGTAAGTAGTAACCCTGGAGGAACCACTTTTCAGGGAGACACCTCACTAGCCCAAAGCTGGTACCTTCCTAAGGTGCACCTTTATTATTTTTCTGTTGGACAGCACACAACTCCCAACCTTCAGTATGTGCACACAGACACTCTGAAGGCCACCTCTATGATTCTATTATATCTATGTTATCAAACAGTTATTATTCCATCCACTGCCATTTCCCACATGCCTGCATTTCCCTTTGTATCCAGACTATTGGAAGCATAGTAACCTGTACCGCTGTTCACAGTCATTATGTACCTCATGATGGTGTCAGTGAGTGAATTTAACTCTAATACGAAAGGATTTTCAATATTAGGAATCCCATCCATAAGGTCCTATGTTTAAGAGCACAGACATCACTCCTTTACCAAGACAAATGCTGGATACTGTAGCACTGCTCATAGGGGTACTCTCTCGGAATGTCTTCCAACACCGCTTACCCCATCTTATTTGTTACGAGCCAACTTGTCACTGCTATCATCAAGTATCAGAAACCAGTGACATTCACAATGGAAAGGCTCTGAAGTGCCAACCATTTAAAAACATATGGAGGGAAGCACGTGCCCACTTTTTAGCTGTTACAGATGATCAAGAAAACTTCTGCTTTTCCCCTTACCTGTTGTACATATAGACATGCACTCTGCTGGCCTGAAGCGCAGAGTCAAGGTGCTGTCGGAGTGCTTCTGTTGTTAGTACATTAGCACCATCTTCCTGTGGAGTCTGGATCATGAGCTGGGGGTTAAACATGGCCTCTTCTCCAATCTTCTGCCGTGTGTAATTTAACTCCCGACTCACTCGTCCACCAACTGATGGATAAATATCAACAGTTTTGTATTAGCCAGTAACCGCTTATTCTGGATTCACTTGATGAGCACTCTCCAACCAGAAAAACTTGACCATGTGCATGGACTATTCTGTCTCAAACTGATCACAGTGTAACTCTAAAACTAGTAACAACTTTATTTTAGTAATACTGCAACAAAAACCATATTCCTCATTAAAATACCATTGCCTCTACTGCACTAAAACATTGATGCGTAAACTGGAGCCTCAGTTTTTTTCTACATTATAACCAATATCCCATATGTAAAAATTTAAAAAAAGAAAGAAAAAAGAAAAACCTTTTCCTTGCAGACCAGACCAAATACTACGTTACAATTTCTTACACTTGTATAAACAGTCTGCTCCAATAGCACATTTCAAGATAAATGGCTTTAATTTACACTCTTCTCCTAAATAATTTGGCAAGGGCAGAAGGAGAATGTTTCTCTTCAGTTAAAAAAAGGGAGGAGGGAAAGAGTAAGTGAGCACGAGTACTTCTTTCAGCCTTAAATAAAAAAAAAATACAAAGTTCACATAAAGAGATGCAATTTTGAGTGTAGCAGAAAGGACTGTCTACAGCTAATTTACCCCAATGGTCCAGTACCTGCATAACATGCTGTGAGGCAGGAGATCATTCATGTGCAACATCTGTTTTTAAACCCACGTGAGCTGAACAGTGTGCTCCGTATTTAAACATGGTGGGGAAAAAAAAGGAACAAAAAGGCAGAGGGAGACTGCAAAGTCGACAGGCTCTAGAGGGAGCCATATTCAATTTGCCTTGCCAGAAAATATTACGTAAGAATGGAAAATTATCTTCCCTCTTACAAAAAAGCATTCAGCTAGAGTTCATATACTTTATATAACCTCCCCTGTAGCCTCTCTAGCAAACGCACGTGGGAGGCGGGGTCAATTAATTCAGCCCATTAGCTGAATCAATACCACATCCAGATGAGGAGGACAAGAATACCAGCAACATGTTGTTTCCATCCCTTACAATTTATTACCTTTATTGCTTCGCTAAGTCCAAGCTACAGACCTGGTCTAATTTGTTACATTTTTTTCAGTCCTAGTCAGCTTGGCACTGGTGATCTGAATTACTGCCAAAGTTTAGTTCTGCAACAGTGTGAACAGAAATTAGGCATGTACATCTATCTCTTCCTAGGCTGTGTAACAGAAGACTGATCTGCAACCAGTTGGCAGTGTGGGAGATGACATTCCCAAGCCTGAACAGGGACATACTTTTTCAATCACTTGGGCCCTCAACCCACCCGTAACCCCCCTGGGGCTAAAAGACCACCAGGCAAGAAGCTGGGCCCCTGCATGGATAAAGCTGTCAGAATGAGACCCTCAACAAGTAAACCATACAGTCATTCTGGCACGAAGCATTGCTTAATTTCTAGTTCAATAATTCTTTGAAGAAATAAGTGTTTCCACAACACACTCCATTTTTTCAGCCTGTCACATGTGGCATTACCTCCTTCACACCAAGTAACAGTGACCAGCTCACAGTAAGAAGAAAATAAAAATCAAAGCACAACTTCCTTACCTAGAATCCCTTTCTAACTTCTTAACATCCCTCTTACTACAGTAAGAGAACATACAATCATTGAGACTGCACATGCATGGTAACAAAAAGCTATTGTTAATTTTTATCAAGAATTAAACCCTAAAAATACTTTCACTCATCAGGCTCATGTTCATGTTCACCACTGTCTTTCTCCAGCAGTCTGTGATACGCTAATAAATTTTGCTTCATCTTACAGGAATATGGGGTGGGGGTAAGGGAGCAGTTATCCTAATCTGTATGTCTTGGAACCAGAGCTTTCTTTTGCAGTCCTTTACACTGCAAGTGCTTCCAAAGACAAAATGTCTCTCCCCTCTTTTGTGTCTCAATGCCAGCCAAGACAATAAAGCCCCAATTTTATAAGGACTGTGGAGTCTACCATAAACTTCTACTCCTGGTACTATATTCTCTCCCATTCCACCCACACTTTCCTTTAGAATTTAACCAGGACTTGAACCAACAAATCATACTCCATGCAAGACAAAGGGCGGCATTCCTATCTCTGCTGAAAGTGACCAACTGTTTACTATCAACAGAAATGATTGCTTCCTAATCAAGGTCCTGTCAAACCACATTACCTTCACTGAACAAGGCAGATTTAGCTCATCAAACTTGCATCACACAAGTCAGTCATCAGAACAGAAGCTGTTTTTTTCCCTTTTAAGATTCAAAACAGGAATAGCAAAACCACCCAAGAAGGTGGGTGCGCGTTCCAGAACCCAGCAACAGATCTGCTCCGCGTTCTTCTTAAAGCATTACACCATTTAATTATTTCTTTGATGTGTCCATTATGTACATTTCTTCAGCCAAATAGAGTAACGATAACTCCACAGGCAAATGTAGATACTTTATACAATGTAACACTCAGGTACAAAGAAATTATAAACTTAGATTGTAGAGGAAAATTCTGCCTGCCAAAGTCAGATTATGTGAAAACATCGGGACAGACCAGAAAGAAATGGATCCATCAGTGGCCTTTCAACATAAGGCAGAAGTAATAAAGAGCAAAAGGGAAGGGGGGAAAAAAAAAAAAGAAAAGTTTCTACCAGTTATGTTTTCATTTATTTTAATTGAAAGTTTGCAAAGATCACTGGAAGCTGCCGTACCCAGAGATCTTAAGCCTCCACAATCAGCTGAATATGCACTTTTTTAAAATCAAGCGCTCTTGTTGCCTTTTTTTTCCCCCCAGACTATCCACAGCTGGTGCAAAAACCTACGAGAGAAACCACTAAAAATGTCACTGAAACGCACCTGAAGCCTTTAGCCTCATTGTGCTGAAGATACGAAATACTATGCTCAACACTTGCACACTCTGCAGAAAGTAATTCCTTACACTTGTAAGAAAAAAAAATACACGCGTTATAGTCATCATAGGATTTCCATACTATAGGACGAATGATGTAATGGAAAATATGACCAGTGAACAAAATGCTGGTGTTTTGTGGTTTTCCTTTATGGACTCTGTTTTCTTATATTTGGTGACAACAACATTTTACACTCAAAATGCTACTGACTTAAATTGTATGTATGGCATACAGTACCAATACTTCCCATTTTATTCCATATCAAAGACAGACAGAACTATTTCACTTCAATATTCTGGTGACAAAATCCACACATCACCCTCCTTTTTCGATACATCAAAAGCCACTTGATGGTATTCGAGTCCTTTATTACATGATTCCTTATGATTTAGTGCCTAGATGGCTGAGTTGGTGGCAGAAATTCCCACAAGCCAAAATGCTGATTTAAATAACAGATCGGTACATTGTCTCATGGCCGGTGGTAACACAATGCAGCAGTTTGTACACTATCCTTCCATCAGTGTCATCAGATTCTGGATGTCTGCCAACTAGAAATGAGATACTATGCCATCTGTACAGTTTAGCTAACAAATTAAAAAAAGGGGGGGGAAAAATCACAACAAAGTAATAACACCAGTGTCCTGGCACCATTTCTCACTCAATATATCAGTTTCTAATTCTCAAGAATGCATTTGAAGGCCAGTGTTCAACATGAGACAGTTTTACTGTCAGCATCTTTGTTGCTGAGTATTAGTTCTTGTTAAAAACCTGTTTTTTCCAGAGAAGAGGAAAGTATCTCCCCTTTCTGCCCCTCCCCGATATCCACAGGCTTCCCTCTTAGCTCTTTGCCAGAACACAGATCTGCCTTAAGCAAGTCAGCACCCTGTACCATGCAACACACTGCTGCTCCTCCTGAACTTCCCCACCGACTTGAACGGAAGCTGGTCAAGGTACTAAATTCGTTGCCCTTCTGAAGGGCCTGAAGAGAGCATTAACTGTCAGTATGGACACTGGGTTGCTAAGAACTATGTAAGGACCACCGTGTCTCCCTCCCCCAAGAGCAATGAACAGCTGTCAGGTGGTAACAAGTCTTAGTCATCCTTAACTTGAGGCAGACCTGAACCCATGACCTATGGGTGAAAGGCTCTAGATCCCATTACCAAGCACTGGGGTCACAGTCCCAGTGTTTCAGTCATCACACGTTAAAATGCTTCGGTGCACCTTAAGCGAGAAGCACCCAGAAAAACAAAACTGCTTGCCTCTAGTGTACATTTGCACAACACTGATGCACCCTCCAATGACTTAAGAGCAAAACCGTATTTGTTTTCATTGGCACAATTTCTGACAGATTTCCTTCCACTGACTTACTAACAATTTCTAAGTTACTGGGTCATTCAGCTCTTGCGCTCATTTCCACTGCGAATGTCACTGTCTTACCTACACCTTTCTCACAATTAGCATTCAAAAATTTACGTGGCATTACATTCGTATGCTTATAAAGAACCCTGGAATCCACCACCGGGAACTGTAGTCCCTTCCACACTGAGTAGTCTCAGGAGTAAGTTTGACCTCTGCTACACTAAGAGATCGATCCTAAATCAAGCCATGAGTGATAGCCAAAAATCACTGCTTGTTAACTTACTGTCCGGTTGCTCAAAAGGCATGAAATGTTTCTTTTTCAGAGTATCTTACAATGTTCCATTTCAGGTTACTGGAATGGCATCATATAGCCTGAGGGTTTGTTATTTTTTTCGGACATGAACACTATTAACCATTCAGTAGTTACCTTGTACACAACTGTGCAACAAGTAGCTTACTAGAGAGCAAGCTCTCTCTAAAAAAGAACACTCCTGAGAGCCAAACACTTGGGATAAAAATGTTCACCTACCAATGTGGAGGACAGACTTTGAGAAACCAAAGCCAAGATTTCCAGAAATACCTACTAGTTTCGGAGCCTAAGTTCTTCTGTGACAAGCTTGAGGTGCATGATCGGAGCAAAAATTTCTGGAGAACCTCCCTTCTGAAGACTATGGGCCTTAAGGCATTTCCACTTGAGCACATGTCGGGGGGCAGACACACTTCTGCTTTGTCTGAGCAACACCATCTTTTTCATTTT